TTTAGTTTTTGTCATGTCACTTTATTCAATTATTTGTGATGATCTGCAGGTGTCCCTATACTTTTGTCCAGGTAGTGTATTTTATAGAAATTTAATATAATTATTAGTAGATTGGATCCTTCATTCAATTACCACCATTCAATAAAGTGTTAATACTTTAATGTTTTTAATGTTTTATTATTATTAATTTAATTTTTTTGACTAATATTTATATTTTTGATTTTTATATTTCAAAAATATTATCTGTTTTTTTTCTTTACATTGATTGTGCATGTATTCTTTTTCTGGTCCAATTATCAATAATAACAGCAGGAAAAAAGTCTTTATGGTTTTTCGATGTATTAAAAGTTGTGTAGGATTGGTCTCTATTACTATATTAATAGATTATGTAAGTGTTGAATGGAAATAAATATAATTAATTTTCTTTCTTCATAATTTAAAAGATCAAATTATTTCACAATTAAAAAAAAAAACGATTTTTAAAAATGTCATCAACTTCAGATACAAATACCAACACTAACACCAATACCAATACTACCAGCACCAGTAACAATAATGATGATAATAATAATAATGATAATAATAATAATAATAATAATAATAATAATAATAATAATAATAATAATAACAATAATAATAATAATGATGATGATAATAATATTGAATTTCGTAATGTAATGAATGTGTTTCAATCCTTGGCCAACACAATACAAACCCTGGCTGACAAGGTAGAAGTCACACCTGACACAACACAAGCTGTATTCAAAGTAGCAGAAGCTATGGCTGGTATAGTTGAAAAACTTGCATCATCATCATCATCATCATCGTCAAGAAGATTCTGCCCTTATCCCCTTTGACCAACAACAACATCATCATCATCTCAAGTTCCCCCACCTCCACCAACAATGTCATCATCACCATATCAAGCTCCTCCACCTGCACCAATGTCATCATCATCATCACATCAAGGTCTCCAACCTCCACCAATAATATCATCATCATCATCATCATCATCATCTACTTCTACTGCTGATCCTCCTATTTACTATACTTCCCGAGCCATAACTACCACAACACCAACACCACAAACACTGAAGTCTGCAGAAGGTGTGTATTTGACCAATACCAATAATCCTTGGTATGGGACAGTTTGTTTTGCATGCAATTATAAAGGGCATCGAGCAAACAAATGTCCCAACTTAAGGCCAGAACATTTAGAAGGTAAGTGCTTTATTTGCTTGAGAACTGACCACCTCTCAAACAATTGTCCATTCAAAAAAGTAGCATCATCTGTTGCTAATAGTAAATTCAGAATGGGATTTATGCCCTCTGATGCCCATTTACACCTCCCACACATATGAACATTTTTATTTATTTTTAATAATAAAGTTAAAATTTATTTTATAAAATTGCTAAATAATCATGTATTTTCAAGAGCATGGTGGACATTCAAATATCACGTAAAATGTTACACGGATTATTTATATTGTTTAAAATAATCAACCAGTCCCA